CCTAACACATTCACACCTCACTGTCACATCTAACACATTCACACCTCACTGTCACACCTAACACATAGTTATTTACCTTTTAAGGTTACACTGTCATCTCAGGTACGTATATTTGTGACACATTTCACTCAAAAAAATAGTTTTTTGATGTGTTATGTGTGTTTTAGGTATGTTAAGTATTGAAAAGTTGGGGGATGCACTTGGAGAGTTTGAGCCAAATCCCCCTGCTGAGTGGCCTGTGGACCATCTGAGGGTGATTGTATTGCATTCACAGGTAATGTTGTCCAATTCATTTTATCAAAACCTGATCATGTGATGAATCCTGCCTCACAACACACTCAGTGATATCTAACACTCATTTAATATGCTTCATCCAGCATTGAATAGATCTTTAAATGTCTATCAGGTTTATTTCTTTAGTATCAAACAGATATGCTGGCTTTAATTTGTATATTTTGATACAAATGAAATAATTTGTATATTATATGTGCATTGATATTGGTAAGAAGCCTTTTTTCTGTTTTTTCATTCCAGTCATGTCCTTTATTAATTTCTGTTATAGATCCCACCAGAAGATCAGGGAGATGCATTCAAAGCACCAGAAGCCAATTGCGGCCATGTTGTCCTGACAACCAACATAGCTGAGAATGCTGTGACAGTGCCCCAAGTACGTGTGGTAATTGACCTAGGGTGGAAGAGACAGCCAGTGTATAATGTGACGAGCAGACTGACCACTCTACAGCGTACACATATCTCTAAGGCATCTGCCAAACAGAGGAAAGGTATAACACCATACCTGTTAAAACAGTTGAAACTACTTAAATATTTCAAATAACGGAAAACATTTGGAAGTTGGAGTTTAATATTGCTAATATATGGCAAAAGGCACCAAATGGGATATGCTGTTTTTATGAATCATTTAAAGTAGATTATTGAGCACATGTGTAGAAGCAATCTCCTTTAAGTGTCAGGCATAGTGCAGTCATCAACAATCGAGGTCATACAGTTTGTTATATTTTCTGTCGATTTGAGTAGCTTACTGTTGGACGTTCATAGATTTGTTGCAAAGGCATTAAGGCTGTCAATTTATGAAGTTCTTTGTTTTCATTTACTTTTTCTTCAATACTTAGTCTGAATTTTTATATGCATGTTCAAACTAAATTGTTGGAATGCAAGAAAAAAATTCACAACTACAGATGCTAATGTGGTTTAATTTATCAAATAGTTCAATTTTCCAATGAATTACCAAATAAATAATTACTGCTATTACTTTCCAAGTTTTCTGACTATTATCCTTTACAGGCCGTACTGGTAGAGTGTTTGAGAAAGGCAACCTTGTTATTAGGCTGTACACCAGAAAGCTTTACAGAGAGTTGGAGAACTTTGACAAGCCAGACATCCAGACTGCCCCTCTGGAGAAGCTGGTGCTCAAAGCCAGACAGGCCGCAACAAATGCTTTCCCTGATTTGAGATCAAAGGAAATACTTCAGGACACAATAGAACCACCAGACATCTCAAATATTGATGATGGAATTAAAGTTTTATGGGAGAATGGAGCTTTCACAGGTAAAGAAATGGCATACTAAAATACATTGCTTCACTTAACAAAGTGTCTTGTCTAAACAGATCCTCATTTGCAGAATTACAATTCCTAGGGAGTGACGTGCTCAAAAACTAGCAGAGACACAGCCACAGTTACTATGAATCATGAATAGCAAATCAAGTATTCCCAATCTTATTTTAACCTTGAACTTGACCTTTGACCTACTTTTCACCTTTTCACCATAAACTGAACTTTGCAAATTTTGTAGCCCTTATATCTTCAAACCTAGCAGAAATACAAACAGTTAATTTTGAACTTATGTAGAAACTCAAGCAATTTGTAATCTCTATGTGAAAATGAATTTTTCAAATCCTGTTATCGCCAAAAGGAAGAACTTTAATGATGACTCATAAAATAGGATTCTAATTTGACCTTAAATTTAACCTTTGATTTACGTTTTGCCATGAATTTCACTTTGCAAATTTTCTATCCATTGTATCTCCAAAGGCAGCAGAGATGTGCTCTTCAAGTAGTAACTGTTGAACTTGAATAGGAAGTCACACATTGGGAATTTTTAAAACTACCTTAGATTTAACCTACATGTACTTTTGAGCTTTGATATTAACATTTTGCATACATATTATTGAATTCCATTAATATTTTAGATTTATCTTTTCCTTTATTTATTTATTTATTTGTTATTATTATTATTATTATTATTATTATTATTTTAGAAAACTCTGATAGGTCCAGCATCACTATGCTGGGTCACCTTGCGATGCAGCTTCCAGTGGATCTGATACTGTCCAGGTTGGTTCTGTACGGCATTGTGTTTGGATGCGCAGTGGAAGGTATCATTCTAGCGGCAGCACTAGCATCAAAGGATCCCTTCATGATGCCTACTAAGAAAGTCATAAAGAACACAGAGGAATTTGCCAAATCCCTTCGTAGGTCAGAGAAGTCCAGACGCAAGTTTGATGGGGGTGCATGCTCAGAGCCAATTGCATTACTGAACTTATTCAAGAAATGGTTAGAGTGGATCTATGATGAAAAGGGTAGGATGATTGTGGATACAGTATCCATTTGGGATATTAAAAAGGAATTCTGCGAGAATAATGCTGTCAGTTTGAACAGATTAAATGCCTATGAAAGAGTGATAACACGTTTGGCAAGTTCAGTTCTGAAATATGTATCAGATCAGAGCATTGCCTGCAAGATCCGTGCTTTGGTTTTCTTCATTTCTGACACAAGGGAAGTTGACAACCCTCGTGTTACCAGCCAAACTGATTTCTTCCGTCCCTCAGATCTCTTCATCAGTTCTGACCAACTTGATCTGAAGGCATTGCTTCTGGCAGCTCTACACCCAGCATTTCTTGTTGGTGAAACCATGAACAAGCTCCATTATGTCAAAACAGATGTCTACCCCTTCAAGGAGTATACAAATTTGGAGACAAAAATGAAGGCAAATAAGATGGACATGAAGCGTACAATATTTGTCCCGGCAAAACCTACAGTGTATAACAAAAATGATGAATGCAAACTTAGAGCAATAGAAAAGCTAGCAAAACTGTGTATCTTTTCCCAGCAAACATTGCCAGAACTGAAACCAGCAGAAAAAGGATCACTTTTCATTCAGTATAAAGGAGCAGAGCCAGTGGAGTCTAGAATATTTCATGATATCATGAAAGATGCCCATAGCCTCTTCAAGTTTGGTGAAGGACGCCAAAGCAGCATCTTCCCAGGTGAAAAAAGACGGATTACTTTAGAGCAGCCAATGCATCCTTACCGTATCCACTGGTCTGTGCTAAGTATTAGAGGGACAGACATGATGAGTCCTGAACAAAGGGAGTATCCGTGTACTGGGTATCCTGACTGGCGTGCACCATTTGCCTCAGCATGTGATCTAGATCAGCGAACGTATCTGGCTGTTGCTGAAAATTTCATTAACTGGAAACAATCTGTAGGGTTTATCAATGGGATGACCATCCTGCCTCAAGATGAGGGAAATATGTTAACTCTCTGCTTGATACTCACCTTCCAACCAAAGCACTTCTCGACACGGTTTATTGTAGACATCTGGAGACAGAGAATCACGCACCTGGAGCTGTTCAGACACAGATTTGCAATACCAGAAGCATCAGAGCTTACAGAGGAGATACTGGACCACATCAACCAGTTCCGCAAAGATCTGTCAGAAGCTTTCTGTGCAGACTTGAAAAACCAAGGTCTATCAGAGTTTTGCAGCATGGAAAGGTTTCTCACAAGATTGAAACAGCTCATGGAAAAAGAAAAGCATCGGAGTAGAAGTAAACTTTCCAAATTAGTTCAAGCCATCAGAGAGGCAATAGATGCTGAAACATTTCGTCAGCTGCCAGACAAGTTCAAACTGCTGGGAGCACTGAAGGATAAGGAGACACCTTCCATTGATGACATCATAAAACAGATGACACAGGGAACAGACTATGAAGAGAGTTCCCAGGATTTGGACTACAGGTATAACTTGTTTTCAAAATTGTAGACCAAGGTCTCTTTTCCACTCAAGACGTGGAAACAAGACTCAATGAGGTCCACGGTAATTTGCATGTACTGCATGAACATATGATGCAATTCCCAAAATCAACCATTTGACACAAGTTTTTTAGCTCATGGGGGTCCTCAAAGAAAAACAGCAACAATCCACCCCTACCCATACCTATCCACCCTCTAAACATCCTGGCTTATTCCATTGATAAGATATGCATTTACTGAGGACCTTAACCTCTTCACTTTTAAAAGAAATGGGTGACTTATAAAACACATACATGGGGTACTTTATATAGTCATTAGTTACTGAACTTAAGCATAGAACCTTTGACAGTACCAATAATGTAAAAATAAATTGTAACCTGCATATTGATAAATTACAGGTACAATGTAGAAATTGCCATAAAGGCCATGATACCTAGTGAGACCCAGGATGAAGAGCTGACTTACCTGCCTCCTTACAACTGTGAGGTCTTCTCCATGGCATATCTGAAGCAACAGAAAGACCAGCAAGATGCAGACAACAACATGGCATACTCCAAGATTACAGCACGTGCTGCAGGACCAGATTACTTTGAATTTACTGATAGTGACACCAGTGATGAAACCTCATCAGATGGAGAAGAATGGGAGTTCATGGATGTCAAAGGAGAAAGAGATGAAACATCTGTTGAAGACAAACCCATACCAGAACAGAAAAAAGATGATTCGTTCCCCTATCATCCAGTTTTAACAGCAACCAGTTTTAAAAGACGACACAGGAAGAGGAAAGATTCAGTATCGGAGTCAGTCCCAGTAAACATCCCAGGAGTGGGTAAGTATCAATGTTGTATATAGTACATACATGTATTACTCTAGTCTTTTTTATAAATCATTAAAGTCATAATAACTCTTCGTTTTGGCCAAAAATTGGATTTTCCTGGAAAAAACGGCAATTTTCAGTACTTACCAATGGTCAACGACCCCATTCCTGCATTCAAAGTTAATCCAGGGTTTTTTTTCCTAAACATACGGTTTTTTGTTAAAATCTTTTATGAGATTTTAACTGACGGGGCCCTCTCTGACATTGCATAGTCACTGGTGACCTACTTAAAACCGCGGGAAAAGCAGACAACAACAACAACACTATATAACAATAATATAAGATTCATGAGATATATTTGTCTTTTTGTTAAAATGCATTTATATCCACAAGGTGTGCCATTCTGGGCTTTTCGTTATCTGACGCACTGTACAAAAACTCGCAACATGGTCTGCATCTGCATCAACGCGTTTTGTGCCATGTTATTTTGGTCTCGAATGAACGCGAGAATCCGCGTGACACCCTTACGTCATTAGCAACGGATGCCTTGACGACCGGGATCGAAGAAAGGCATCGAAAGCCCTTCTGATAAGCACAGATTTTTGTTTTACTACAATAACGGCCGTTTTAATGGTAAAATACAATAGAATATATTTCCATGCGTTGTTTACAATGTATTTCTTGTAGAATTTTGAATCTCAAAGGAAGAGTTACTATTGCTTTAAGTTAGTATATTACTAGTACAGATCTGATCTCATTTACATGTACAGCTTGCCAATCATGTGAGATAAGAATCTTTCTACATGATCTAGTGATAGAAGTATATGTAACAGTAATTGTACTAGTGGGTGTTGTTTACAACGAAGAACACTTCTATTCCAGATGTTGTACCTCAGCTCGTGCAGCATGACATCGATGGCATCACTGCAGCACTGGACATTTTTGTGGACATGTGCCAAGGCCTGCCCACCCCCAAACCAGCCTATGTGCGCAACTTCATGGGAAACCGCCATTACCAGGTTCTCGGTCTGCGTCTGCGTGAGGAACAGCTGGCAGCAGTCATACAATACTGTGATAAATACAAGGTTGAAGAAGGGGGCGACATGGGACCAGTTGTTTGTGAAAAGTCTTAACAGTTTGGTTGGTAATACTGCTAGTGGGTTGCAGGTGGAAATGATTTATAACTATCCTATTCCTGATCTGGGCTCAGGGTATTTGATGATTGGTTATCAGATGTATAGATAATAGAGATAATAGGTAAATCCTGGCTCACCTAAGACATGGTGAGTGGGATTCACTTCTTGTCTGGACAGACCTATCCCAGGCAGACCTATCCAGGGCAGATCTATCCCGGGCAGACCTATCCCAGGCAGACCTATCCTGGGCAGACCTGTCCTGGTCAGACCTATCCGGGCAGACCTATCCTGGGCAGACCTGTCCAGGTTTGCATCTGCACTTATTTACTTGTCATAATAATGAAACCAATCAAAATTGAATGAGCAAACCACATAACATTATGTGTTTTTACAATGATATTCACTTAGTGTTTAAGTCTTTTATATTGAAATTTCAAACTTTCCAAGTCAGATTTTAACCTTGCCAAGTTCAGATTTCAATTTAAAATTTGCCTAAGGGCAATTGAAATTTCAGTCCTGTCTGGGCAAAAATAAAGTCTGAATGGATTTTAATTTGGCTAAAGCTGATTTGAAATCTGACTGGATTTCAATCTGCAACATATATTAAGAAAGTCACTGGGACCTTAACCCCTTTTTATATTTCTTTATATATGAATATCTCTTTTTATAGTACTGTAATTTATACAAACATTATGATAAGAAACATCCCTATTGATTTGTATTCCATCATGTGAATGAAAGGCTTATCTAGAGAATACAGATTTTGAATAAATTTTACAATTCAGGATTTATTTGTATTTATTTGTAAGTTATGCCCAGCGGTACTGCAACTGGTTTATTAACCTAAATACCACAGAAAATCACCTTTAAATACCAATTCCAATACCACGATATTACTTCTTCAAACCTTTTCAGTGACATAAAAGAAATTGCGTATCCACGGTTTTATTTGCTACCATAATGTGTCTCAACCTTGATGTGAATTAAAAGTAACGTAATGTATATCACATGATAACAGAGAAATAAACCGACCGTTACTTCGATCACCGCAACTGCAATGTCATCCATGCTAATGCTGCAGGTTTACGGTTGAAAAAAATGTGTCATAAGTTTTAATAATTTATTATTAAAACTTATTGCATATTTTTTCAACCGTAATTAAAATAATAATACTTAATTGAGCAATTAAATTGTACGTTTTCTTTTAGAGCTTTAAATTCGACCCTACACCTAATTGAACTAAAGTCAAGGTAATGTGTACAACACGAGTGCAATGTCATATATCAAATGCAATTCCAATTTCATTATTTCTTCAGTGACATTTGAATAAAACATGTCGTGGATCATGGCATTTGTAAGCCAAGTTTGACGTGCTGGTATTTGAGCTTTCTATTCGATTGGGTAAAGCCTAAATTGAAATAATAAACACATAAATAATTTCAAAATTGATTATGTTGAAGAAGACGGTTTGACAAAGCAAGAATGAAGACTACATAAATGTCAAAAGCCTGCAGGCCCGTAGTCAGCATTTTTCTGGAAAAAGTGGACCTCACTATAAAACCTTTATGTACCTAGATCAAATTTTCCCAAGAGCGGACCTTTTCCCAGCAAAAGGCAGAGGCGGATCCAAGATATTTTCTGACAGTCTTCCAAATTATCTCAGTTGATATACCCTCCATTTTTGACCGTCTTCCGACAAAAATATTAGGATACCCGTCAATGAAGACTTGAAAATCTGACCGTCTTCCGAAAGACCCAGAAGACGGTCTAAATCCGCTCCTTTAAGGGGCGGTTCTTTCGAAACCCCCCCCCCCCCTGTCTGCGGGCCTGAGAGGTGAAAATAAAATAACACAACTATTGTCGACAATTTACGGTATTCTTTATTTCCCGTAGCGTGATAAATAGTTGATGACTGGAAACCACATCAAGCCGGAATCTTCTCCTGAATGAGGTGAATCATCTATGCAGAATCCAAGGCCACAGTAAAAGAGGCTAAATGTCACTTTATTAATGTAGCACTTTATAAAGATAGCGTTTTAAAATTGTGTATCTGTAGGAAAGTGAGTCCGTCGACCTTCAATTCATGTGCCTCTTGCTGCATTAGAAGCATTCATTGTCTTTGGTGCAGATCGCAGTGCAGTCGCAGCCAACACTGGAAACAAATATGGCGAAGGAATGATTGACGAAGTCATTAATGAATGGCTAAGCCAATAATAATGGTTTAAACTAAAAAGTCATATAAATTTCTCAATTAGTAATACGGAATTGACTAAGTCAGTGATAAATGACTATACACTTACATGCACTGGTATCCTGTGGGACAAGTGAAGATCGTCTCGTCACATGGACTTATGATGTTAACGCACTGAGGTCTTCGTATTTCCTCTGTAAACAATTGTAAATATTTCTGTATGAAATATTTCTGTATATATTGTAAATATTTCTGTATAAGTTGTATGAGATCACCTGAGCTAAATATCCACGCCAGAGTGCGCCATCGAAGTTACTTGAAACCGACAATGATTGGATTTTAAATTGTTTCAATTTTTGCTTAAATTTTCGCTCCTGATAAACCAGATACTTGTAGAATAGCTACATCTGTAGGAATTTTTTTATTTTCACTTACAGATATTCAACGTTAGGCAACAAAATCAAGAACATGAAAAACCTTACTTAGTTTCCCATTTTTGCACACCAAACAGTCCACTTCACCATCTTTAGCTGGCGCCAGGGACATAAGACAAGTCACAAGAACCAAAACGGCAAGAGAGCGCATCCTGCTCGGCGTCTGTCCAATCACGGTCTCCACGTCACTATGAGTGGTGTCTACTAGTAACTGCGTTGTTATTTATTCCAAAAGCTGTGGGAGCCCACCTTGAGAGTAAAGTAGCGTATTCACCCAATACATAGTGAGAAAGACAGAGGAATAAAAAAGACAAGGGTCGGGTAGCTACAAATTGACAACGTTGTCGCAATAATTAATACCAAGGAGAGATCATTAGACACAATTTTAATTTCTTGCAAAAAATGGGTCTTGACGATGCTAACAGTACGCCATTAACAGCGAAATAAATGCTGCACTTCACTTGATTTGTTTGCTTATTGCCTGTATTTTTCCCGTGACGAATCAGCGGTACGTATGCACCATAAGCCCCGCCTCTCATGAATATTCATTTAAGTCCACAGAATACACCATGCGAGGACACTAGCTCGTCTCGCACTGAAATTAAATTGGAAATTATATTCCAAAGGTTTTTGATGATATTTATAATTCAACATTTTTTCATTGTACAGTTATCAACAGTGAGCAAACAGACACTCCTGGCTCTGAACCGCACTTGCTGTATTTTGGAAAATTAAAAAAGTGCCTCGGACTTCCTAAAAGCGTAGATCTCGTTGGCATTTTAAGGGGTGTGGTGGTCAAACTATTTAGAGGTGTAAATGTTGTTTTTTCTACACTTTACCTATCTCAACCCCGATTGACGAAGACCTACCGGTATTGGTGGCACAATTAGTGACACTCAGATAACTGTGTGATTTTGCTACACGTTTTCGTGTGTTTACCACACCGGTATACAGGGGCATGCATCAATCAATTGCACGTGACATTAAAGCTGTGATCTGATTTGACGCTTGGCATTCCTGGATAGATCATATTGGCTGGCGGCACATCAAATGCGATAGACAGACGGTATGGAGAGCAATGGGCAATATCTCTTTATATGGCTGTTTTAATAGCTTGTATCAGTGTATTTATCGCCAAAGGACAAATCTGGACAAAGGATGGAAGTTACGTGACTAAGTGGCCAGCGACCATGCCATTTTCAAAAGAAAGAATAATTTTAACTACAAACAAATGATAAACGATACCCTCCCATTGATTCACGGGGTGTGATGATTATGAATCCATCTCATCTTACATCGCCATCAGTAACATTATTCTTGGAACACATCAATGTCCTTTTGAAATTTATTTTAATATATAACCAGGCTGTGGCTGACAATGGTTTAGGAATTTTGAGGGAAGTCTGTAGCTTATCTACTGAGTATTATGGATATTGTCATAGCCGTAATGTTCCGCGAAACACGTGATCTGTTTGGGGGACTCGCCAGGTTACACAGCGATGTAGCCGATTGCATTTTAAGTTCAAAATATACTATATTGAATCACATTCGATTGATGTGACAGCTTGCTTAAGCCCCCTTTACACTGGACGGCGTCCTTTCTGCGTCCAGCAGTACGGCCCCATTTTAGAGTTAAAAAATTATAATATTTTACATCCCGACAACTGGCCGATCATTGAGCATTCATTCTGATACAAAATCAATGCTCGTACCTCCTTATTAAGACCACAGCGATGCCAAATTTCATGGTCGCAGAAAGGACGCAGAAAGAACGCCGTCCAGTGTAAAGGGGGTATTAGTAGTTACATTATTTTGGTATTTCACAACACAGATGAATGACTGTCAGAGGGTAGAATTTTCATTGCGTTATCAGGGAAACATCCGGTAACTAAAGCATACCATAGGCACTAGAATATAGTGTATAATAATTAATGATGGTATTCTGTAGTCTATCTCGGCGTTATAGAATAAGAGCACATGGTGTTTATATGCTATTTGAAAAATTAAGGCCTATAGTGTTTTGACTCTGTCACACTTGAGTTTACAATAAATCTATGCAGGGAACTTACCCTCCACTAGGCTGACAGATATTATAGGGAAATTTTCCAAAAGCCAGAGAACCAAATTGACCGTCTATTTGTCTAAAGACACATCTGTGGATATCTTGTGAAAAGTCAATCTGTAGCCCTGGTAGTGGGTGCAGGGAACCAACTAACAAGATCTGTTATTCTTCAATATATATAGAACGAGTACAAGTTAGCGTAGATATCTTTACAAAAGGGAATTAAATTCATGTTTAAGGCAATATCATCATTTATAGTATTTGGGTCCAGAGTAAAGAATAATGAAGAAATTACCCCTGTTGCCTACCTGTTTCACTTGCCAGTCAAGTACTCTATTCAGCAGTTAATTGTATAGTAACTGATACTGACAGTGATGATGCAAGGGTCATATATAATTATATACATGTACCTGGGTTGGTCATTGGAGATTCAGTCAGTACAGGTAACAATTAAATCTTGTTTTAGGTCATACTGTTTTAGGTCAGTGCTATGATTAATGATGTAATTACCCCTGTTGCATATCTGTTCACTAGCCAATCTACTCGTACTCTGTTCTGTAAATTGTACAGACACTGGGCGAATAAACGGTTATGAAATAAATGGAACATGTTGCTCTTATATCTCCCCATGCAGGGTTACATCAAGGGAAAAGTTATTGCACATGTAACAACAGTTATTCTCATTTAAGGAGTTCTAAATTATCGTGTGTTATTTGAAATGGTGGTATAACAGTTAATTGAATAGCCATATTGCTATATACCGGTGCATGTATTATTTTGTAATTATTCTTCCTATTCTGTAGTAGGGTATGTTTAGCTTATATTTTTCTCCCCAATTTTATCCTCATACAAGTTACACTGTGGCTGTGGGTAAATATAATGAGGTGTGGAAGGGAAACGTTTTTTGACATTTCAGTTCAATTTGTTTCTGTACTGGTAAATAATTTATGTCCTTGTACAATATAATATAATATAATATAATATAATATAATATAATATAATATAATATAATATAATATAATATAATATAATTACAAATGGCGCACTACCATTTTGCGTTGTCAGTTTATGACTGAAAAAAATATTTTCACATGAACTAGGTAAGGGAAATTACGAAATATTTAAGCTAAGCAGTGAGACATTTATTTAGGTTTTTTTTATAAATTTATTATACACGCAATTCATGAAGCATACAGCTACAATTATATACAATATAATGAAGAGTGATTTAAATTTACAAGAATGGAAGGAAGAACTACAATTACACCAATTATCAATTAAATAAACGATATAAATATTGTGTCATTTTTTTAT